TGTTGATTTTCAATAAGCCGGGAATGCTGGAAGAAAGCTAATGTTCTGCTAATGTCTAAAAAGGATAAATAGCACGATCCAGGTAATTATAGGTCTTCCAGCCTGACATCAATTCTGGGGAAGATAACGGAGCGGCTGATACGGGACTTGATTAATAGAGAATTAAAGGGCGGAAATGTAATAATGCCAGTCAACATGGATGTATGGAAGACAGAACCTGCCAAACTAACGTGATATCTTTTTTCGATGAGATGACAAGTTTGGTTGATAAAGGTAATAGTACTGATGTAATAGACTTAGACTTCGGTAAGGCATTTGACTTGGTACCGCGTAACATTTTGATGAAAAAACTAAAAACTAACATGAGACAAGGTGGGTGAGGTAATATTATCTTTTATAGGACCAACTTCTTTTGGTGAGAGAAAAGCTTTTGAGCCATACAGAGCTCTTCTTCGGGTTTAGGGGTCATGGTGGATAATCAGCTGAACATGAACTCCTGTGATGCTGTGGCCAAAGGGGCTAATGTGATCTCTGGATGCATAAATGGGACTCTTGAGTAGGAGTAGAGAGGTTATTGTACCTTTGGATGTGGCACTGGTGCGACCACTGCTGGAATCCTGTGTCCAGTTCTGGTGTCTGCAATTCCAGAAGGATGTTGATAAATTGGAGAGAGGTCAGAGAAGAGCCGTGAGAATGTTTAACGGATTAGAGAGAAAATCTGCCTTACAGCATGTGACGTTATTGATATAATCGGGGACCATATAGATCATTGTTGCAACCAAGGTCCTGTAGTGGCACCCAAATCTTGTATAAAGGGGGTCAAATGAGTGGTCTAAGACAAGGTTATGGTTTGCTGGTTATAATTATGCTGTCTATATGTGTGTATCAATTTTGTAGTTGAAGTTATGAATATTGGCTCTATACTGTCTGTATTTCAAACTTATGCTATGCTTCTGGGTGACATCCCAGACAAGTTGGTGTTAGCTCTGCCTAGCCTGCTTGATGGCCCATTAAGGACCATCAGGTATACAATTGACCCATGGAGAGAAGGCAAATACGCCTTGTGACTCAGCAAAGTATGCAGGGACTGGCCCATGTGACTCCAGACTCCATTTTGCTGTAATTTTCCACAGTGAGAACAAAGAGGTGTTCTTACACCTGGAAAAAACTATATAAGGCTGATGCCTCATCTCCATTTTGTCTTCAATCCTGCTTCTTACCTCTGGAGGGACTTCGCTACAATCAGAAGCTCTACACCAAGGACTGATGACCCATCCCAGGTGGGGATGTATTCCAGAGACTTGATTTGAACCTGCAGTTTATTCTATCTCTGCTGCAAGCCTGAACCAAGAACTTTGCCATTACTGTATGTAATTGATCCCATTTAACCAATTCTAACTCTCATCTCTATCTTTTTCCTTTTATGAATAAACCTTTAGATTTTAGATTCTAAAGGATTGGCAACAGCGTGATTTGTGGGTAAGATCTGACTTGTATATTGACCTGGGTCTGTGGCTTGGTCCTTTGGGATCAGGAGAACCTTTTTTCTTTTATTGGGGTATTGGTTTTCATAACCATTTGTCGCCATAACGAGTGGCACTGGTGGTGATAGTGGGAAACTGGAGTGTCTAAGGAGATTGCTTGTGAGACTTGCGGTTAGCCAGTGGGGTGAGACCGAAGTCCTCTTAGTCTGGCTGGTTTGGTTTGCCTTAGAGGTGGAAAAACCCCAGCCTTGGGCTGTAACTGCCCTGCTTTAGCAATTTGTCCTGAATTGGCACTCTCAGTTGGGTCCCGCCAGAGCCGCATCCTCACACAGCAATAGACTCAAGAAGCTCCATCGATTAGCTTAACAAAGAGAAAGTTAAGGGCTGACATGATCACAGGCTACAAGTACCCGCATGGGGAAGAAATATTTGATAATCTAGCAGAGAAGGTCTAACAGGATCCAGTGGCTGGAAGCTGAAGTTAAACAAATTCAGACTGGAAATAAGGTGTACATTTTTAACAGTGAAGGTAATTAACCATTGGAACAACTTACCAAGTGTCGTGGTAGATTCTCTATCGCTGGCTATATTTAAATCAAGACTGGATGTTTTTCTACAAGCTGCTCTAGGGATTATTTGGGGGCAGGTCTCTGGCCTGTGTTACACTAGACTAGATCAGGGGTGGGCAAACTACGGCCCACGGGCCATTTTAAGCCGGCCCGCGGGTCGCACCACGCGGCTCGGCCCTGCTCCAGCCGTGGCGCTGGGTTGGGGCTGCACCACGCTTGAGGTAAGCGCCGCTCGGAATCTGCACCCCTGAGCCTCTCCCCACGCCTCAACCCCCTGCCCCAGCCCTGATCCCCCTCCTGCACCCCAAACCCCTCATTCCCAGCCCCACCCCAGAGCCCGCACCCCCAGCCAGAACCTGCACCCCTTCCCGCAACCCTGCCCCAGCCCTGATCCCCCTCGCGCCCGCCGAACCTCTCGGTCCCAGCCCAGAGCACCCTACTACACCCCAAACTCCTCATCCCCAGCCCCACCCCAGAGCCCTCACCCCCTCCCGCACCCCAACCCCAATGTTGTGAGCATTCATGGCCGACCATACAATTTCTATTCCCCGATGTGGCCCTCGGGCCAAAAAGTTTGCCCACCCCTGGGCCAGATTATGACAATGGTCCCTTCTGACCTTGGAATCTATGAAATTGCAAAACAAACCAGCTAGCAAAAAAGGGAGCATTTGTATCTACAGACAGTGTCTCCTCCCCCAGCCATGCCATTGTACGCTGGGTGGCTTGAAAGAGTGCGAGCTGCCCTGAGATCCCACAGGTGTGGTGGCACGATGCCCAGCACAATGAGGCTCTGGTGCCAATCAGGACTGTGGGTATAACTGATAGAAACACCCAGGGAACGTAGGCGTCCCGACCCCATTGAACGCCAATGGGCCTCCACGGTGGCCAGTGGGGAGTGTCTGGAATTAGCCCCCAGCCCAGTCCCACATGGTTATAAGATACACGCAGCCTGGTTTTGTCTGCGCTCGGCCTACGGCTGGGGAACCATAAGTGTCTCTTGGCTCCACAGCAGCTGGGTGTCTTATTTTGGGAGTTGGCAGCCTCAGCCAGTGCCCTGGCCTCAACACAAGCCTGAGCCAGCAGAGACGCTGTGACAGGGAGGAGAAAGGAAGGGTAACTTAACAGCCCCAGCAAAGTCATTTCCCCACAGCCACGGCTCTGCCCACCTCCCCCAGTAGCACGCTCCGAGCGGCCGGAGGCCCAAGTGCCGCAGAGATGCGGCAGTGCTGGGGCATGGGAGCGGGGCAAGGGCAGGCGCAGGGAAGCCGATGACAGCTTTCTGCTGCCACTGTCTCTGCTCCCTCCGCCGTGGAGGCCGGAGACGTTCCAGGGCAGGAGCTGCCACCCGCTGCTCTCCACAAAGCAAGCCTGGGGGCCCACAGTGCCAGCCCTTTGCCCGACGCCCCAGCCTGCCCAGCGCGGTCACCTGGCTGGGCTCCAGCTTTCCACACTCAAGGAAGTTACAGGAAAGGAAACACACACAGACACACACCCCGGATTGCAGACCCTTCCACGGGCTTGGTCTGGGTCTGATCCACACTGAGTCAGCCAGGCCTGGAACAGAGGGGGGCGGAAATCGGGGAATGCAGAGCTGAGATAGGAAACAATGAGAGGTCATGTAGCAGGCAGGCCCCACGGGAAACCAGCTCTCACTGGGAATGGATGAGACACACACACACACAAGTGTCTCTCTCACACACACACACACAAAAGTCTCATGCACACACAAGTGTCTCACACACACACACGTGTCTCTCTCACACACATACACACACACAACTGTCTCTCGCACACACACACACGAGCCTCACACGAGTGTCTCTCTCTCACACACACACACGCAAGTGTCACACACACACACGAGTGTCTCACACACACATACATGAGTCACACACGAGTTTCACACACACACACACGTCTCTCTCTCTCACACACGAGAGAATCTCTCACACACCCAGATACACACACACATACATGAGAGTCATACACACACAAGTGTCTCTCTCTCTCTCTCACACACACACACACACACACACGAGTATCTCACACACACACACGAGTGTCTCTCTATCACACACACACACATACATGAGTCACATACAAGTGTCACACTCATACACGAGTCTCTCACACACACTCACGAGAGAATCTCTCACACACACAGACATGAGAGAGTCTCACATACATGTAACCAGGATCTTGCCAGAACATGGGGTGCGGGAGGGTGTTGGGGGTGTGTCCAGGGTAGGGGATGGGCACACACATGTGATAGCTACTGCTGGGTTCTGGCTCTCACGGGGTATTCCCCCCCCCCCCCAGGCTGCCCTGGGTGTGAGCATGCGGGGCTGGGGCTGTGGGCCAGGGTCACGGCCGAGCGTAGCGGAATCAGGCACTCAGGCCTGAAGCCCCGCACTTGTGCGTGGCTCGCGCTGTCTGCTGCAGGAGCAGGGACAAAAGGTGGGCAACTTCTCACAGCTCTTCCCACACCTCCCTCCCGCCAGGCTGGCACACACTGTCCAGGGGAGGGAGGGGGGCGGTGGGGACAGGGGCTGTGCTCTCCAGAGTGGTGGGACGGACCCCGCTGGTAAAGGGCTGGAGATCCCAGCCGCTGCTCTCCCCATAATGACTGGGCTGGATTTCACCTGCTCCCCCCCTCCACAGGGCGTGCTCCCTGCAGTGCGCCCAGCTGCCCACTGGCAGCGCCAGAGAAGGGGTACCCCCTGGCAATGGTGTAACCGGGAGAAAAAGTCGCGCTCTCACAGCTGGGTCAGAGACATGGGACTTGTTCCGGGCGCTCCCGGCTGCACTCCCCGCCTGCCGTATGGGGAGCGACGGTCCCCATGGCACAGCCCATCCCAAGGATGGAAAATGCTTGTTAATCTCTGTCCCGCTGCCCTGCCCAGTGACGCTGGCCCCCAGGGGTGGCAGTGGTGAGGGAGCGCCAGGGATGGCCATCTTCAACGCCGGCACACGGACACATGCATCCCGTCGGCACGGGCCCAACTGCGCTTCCACGCGGCAGCCTCAAGGTCGGCCCGAGGGCCGGCAGGAACAAGCGATACAAGTGAATGTGAGCTGACGGGCGGTGCCGCTCCTTCTCCAGCCGCCGTGGCCCGGCACCCCGGGCGGGGGCAGAGAATCGATGCGCCGGGAAAGGCGAGTGGCAAAGCGCTACCCCCGTTCAGTGCTGCTGGAAGTTGCACGATCCTCAGCAGAGAAGAGCCCTGTTGTAACAGGCAGAGCCCGTCTCCATGTCCCGAGGCTCAGCACCCCGCCTATGGATAAGGGGAGCAAGGAACCGCTGCATCGTTCAACCACTGGGACGCGTCTCCGCCGATGTAAGTAGCATCAGCGGCTCCTCCAAGAGGGCAGACGCGGCCGTCCCTCTCCCACCACGCACTGACTCTGTCCTAGCGCTCTAGGAACCAACCAGGCTTCCGGCTGTCCTGCTCTCACTGTGCCCAAGGGGACTCGATCCGGCTGCCAGCCCATCCCCACAATCCACAGGCCTCTGCCCAGACAGCAGCCCAGCCCAGAAGCACGGGACGGCAGAGTCTGTGGGATCTAGCGTTCTTCTTTGGGAGGGTGCTGGGGGGGAAGCAAATAAAGAAACAACCCTTTTCCAGACACATCACGTTTCCCCAGAAGTCAACGCCCAAAGGTGTCCTGGCCCGGCCGACTAGCCAACACTGGGCACATCCTGAGAGCAGGGACTGGCTGCAGTGAGCCTCCCATGTCAATTAATCTACAGGATGTATGCACACGCTGACACTCCACAGGCTAAAAATAGAGCTCAGTGACATAAACCAGAGTATAATCTCTGCTCCCTTCGGAGAAGTGTCCCCCGCCACAGACCTCCCCTGCCTTGCCAAGCCTCACCGGTTAGGGATCAGCAAGCAGGCTCCCCCCCCCAATACAATCCTCTTTAAAATCATCTGATTTTCTCCCCCAAACAACCCACGAGGTTCCCTTTCTTTGCCTTCTAAGTTTCAGAGCCTCAAGGGGCTAGCTTTTCAAGCTTTTGTCTGCAACCACGTGGGCTAGACTTACTGTTTTCAAAGGAGGAAAGATTCTCACCTGACTCCAGCAGCTGGCGCTTTACAACAATACCAAATATTGTGAGAGTCATGGAAAAAACCCCATACGAGCTGGCAGCACTGTAGCCCGTGCTTAAACTTGCCTTTTCCAAGGCAGTGGTACAGGCACTAGCCCAGGACTTGAGACCTCATTTCAAGTCCCTACTCTGCCACAAAGTTCCTGTGTAACCTTGGCCAGGCCACTTTGCCTCTCCGTGCCTCAGTTTCCCATCTGTAGTACCATTATTTGTATTACCACAGCACTTAGGAGCCCAGGCCTCAGCCAGGACCCCATTGTGCCAGGTGCTGGACAAACAAGATGGGCCCTGCTCCAAGGTGCTTACAATCTATGTGAAATCCGGTCAAGGGGTCTACTCACTGCAAGAGCACATCCCCATAGCCAGAGGTGGCACAGCAGGGGTATCCCTGGATGATCCCCCTGCCCACAGTCACTCCATCACTGCAGTGGTCTCTCTTCCTGCCACTCGGCCCTCCGGTCTGGTCACGCTTTAGTCCACACCTTCTGGGGTAACAGAGAGTCCAACCCAGCTATAGTCCTGGGGTCTTGCAGCAGGTCTTCCCTCCATCTCTGGGCTCTGTGGTCCTCACACCCCTTATCTCAGGGGCTTCACCCCACCTTCCTCAGTGGCTGGGAGGGGAATGCAGGCCCTTTCTCTACTCTGGGCTTCAGCCCTGGGGGCTGGCAGCTAAGGTCTGCTCCCTCAGACTTCTAGCTGCCCCTCTGGACCCCCTCCCACCTCTGCTGCAAACTTCCCGGCTTTATCACCACCCAGCTCCTCCCCAGCTGGGCCCCACCCTCAGTGAAGCCTGGACTTAACAGGCCTCTCAGGCCCCTATTAACCCCTTCAGGGCCTGTGTGGGTACACCTCCCCTCCCCAGGTGTTGTGAGGTGTGACCAAGAGGGAGTTGTTTGTAGTGTTTGAATGATGCTGATGCTTGCCTCAGTTTCCTCCTACACCTTGCATGGCTACCCAGTGTGGGGGGAAAGGATGAGATCTGCTCTCAGGCAGAACAAGAGGCGAAGGCGGGCGGGTGTCACCTCCCTGTCTGGCCCATTAAAGAAGACAAATCAAGAGCCTGACAAAGAGACGCCTCAAGGCCTGAGCAATCCACTGAAACCCGGGGCAGGTGGGATGTGGGAACTGGAAAACAAAGGGGGAAAGGAGTCAGGTGATGGGGAGAGGGGCTGCCCCTGGGGACTCAGGGTCTCTCCTGTGTGGACAAAGGGACAAGAGAGGGAGCCAGAGATGAGGTCCTGGCTCTCCAGGGTACTGGGTTGGGGGAAGGGCTAATAGCTATGACTCAAGGGTTGCCTTGTTATGCAAAGGCTGCGGGTGTCTCTGTAAATACATACTTAGGCCTGGTCTACACTACGGGATTAATTCGGATTTAGCAGCGTTAATTCGAATTAACCCTTCACCCGTCCACACTGCAGAGCCATTTAGTTCGAATTAAAGGGTGCTTTAAATCGATTTCTGTACTCCACCTCGACGAGCGGAGTAGCGCCAAAATCGATTTTGTTAATTCGAATTAGGGTTAGTGTGGCCGCACACCACCGAATTAATGTGGTTAAAATAAATGGGGTAGTGTGGCCGCACACCACCGAATTAATGTGGTTAAAAACCGAATTAATGTGCTTAGTGTGGCCGCGCACAATCGAATTTATACAACCTGTTTCCCAAATTCGAATTACCTAAATTCGGATTAATCCCGTAGTGTAGACATACCCTCAGGGGGGCTTTGTGCTGGAAGGGACATGGTACACACCTCCTGCAGAGGGCTGGATTCGGTGCAGGGAGCCCCGGAGAGAGTCAGGGATTGCTGGTGCTGAGAGCCCAGTGTCGGAGGGGTGGAGGCCGCGGGCCTGCCCCTGCGGAGCTGTGTGGAGCCTGGTACACTAAAGGGTCACTCCCAGGGGACTGGTTTCAGAGTAGCAGCCGTGTTAGTCTGTATCCGCAAAAAGAACAGGAGTACTTGTGGCACCTTAGAGAGGTGCCACAAGTACTCCTGTTCTTTTTCCCAGGGGACTGGTGACCGGCTAGGGCATAGACCAGACCCTGTGACTCCGTGACACCAGGCTAAATCCATTAACACACATACTCCAGCAATGGGGGCCATATAAACACCTACGCTAGATAGACCAGCCTGCCCAAAGTAACAGGGTAGAACAACAAGAACCAGAAATCATGCTGGTGCCTGAGATCACACTAAAGAAACACTTTAAACTTTGGGGAACTGCACAACGCTTCAGAGCACCAGAGCGACTGGAGAATCCGGGCCTGTTTTCAACACAGAAGTGAAGCGTGGAGGGTGGGAAATCAAGGCAGGGTCTGAGAGATGGTGTCTGAGGGGGGGGAGGGGGAGGCAGAGTAGGACATGTGACTGCTCTTCCGTTCGGAGCATTGCCAGCGCGTTGGGTATGTGTCTTAACGCGGCGCATGAGGTATAAGGGGAGGAATTCTCCATGGTAATCGACACTCGGCCGGGCTGGCTGAACAGCGAGGTATCCGGCCTAGTAACCAGAGAGCCGGCACCTATGGGCAGATCAGACTCACTGCAACCGTCGGGACAGACCCTGGCTCAGAAAAAGTCAGAGCGCTTTCAAGTCTGGACATAAGCTGAGACGCCTGCTTCTGAGAACAAGAATGGAAAGAGCGCCCCTCCATTAGGTATAGCAAGCGTCCGTGCCCACCTGGTCACTGAGCCACTTGGGTGACTTTCATCAGGCTAATCACAGATTGTTATACAGGAAAACCAAATTTCCTGATCACCCAATTTACTAAAGGGCGATCAAAAACGTAGCCAACACAGAGCTCACGCTGTGTCTGATTGCTGTGAATTTCAGACCCCCCCCACAGGGTGCAGGAAACGTACCCTGTCTTGTGTCCCCTCCATCTCTCACAGTGCTGGGTCTGGGGGAGGGGGGTCTCCTTTTAATTAACGGGTGTCAACTGCTGACGTGAGAGGC